CTGCCGGAGCCAGCCGGGCGCTGCAGTTGCGGTGGACGAGGCTTCTCCTCCGCCGGGTGGAGAGAGCGTGACCTGGCGCGTTTATTGGTTTTCTGGTGGATGTGAGCTCCGGGGCGACTTCGAGCTTGCGGACAGCTGCTCTGGCGTCGGAGCGGCCTGGCTCAGTCTGCAGTGTGCCCGGAGACGTCTGGGAGCGGCCCGCGCTGGGGCCTGCCGAGGCCGGCGCCGTGGGTGGTGCGCTGGGCTGCCTGTGCGGCCCGCGCGCTGTCTTGCTGCCGCCGCTTGACAGCAAAAGTAAAGGAGCCTCTGCAGGGAGGGGAATCTCCTGGCTCCGTCACCGGCTCGCGGCAGGTGCTGGGCGGCTCCCGAAGCCCCCGGGCACGCGGACGGGTGCGGGCCGTCGTGCGCTGCCCCGTCCAGGGCACCGCCACGGGCGTGGACGCCCAGGCCGAGCACTCGGCACCCGCGGTGTCTGCGCCCAGAGGCCACTTTCCAGGCCAGCGCAGGCCAGGACCCCGCCCTGACCCCGGCCCCTGAGTGCAGGCGGTTCGCTGACCCGCGCCACAGAGGGGCTCAGCGGACCGGTGCGCGCTTGCGGCCTCGGGGTGTGCGGCGGAGCGCCCAGGGCCAGCTCCCAGCAGCTTCCCCCTGGCTGGGGGTGAGGGCCAGCCTTCTCCGCGTCGCAGGACCGCCTCCGGTCCCAGGCCAGCCCAGTGGGCCTCAACGGTGGCGGCGGCGTGGCCGCCGGGGCGCTGGGCGGCGACTGGGCGCTGGTTCAGGTGTCTCGGAGGCGCAGACCGGGCCGCCGGAGTAGGGGAGGCCACTGCCTCCCACCGAGACTCGCCTGGCCGAGGTGAGGGCCCGGCCGCCCCTCTCCGCACCCCCTTCTGGCCACTCGGTCCTGCTGGTCCTGCTGACCAGCTCCTTGCTGCGCTCAGGGCTCCCGGGGCGGACAGGCCTTCCCTCACCCTTCACCCCTGCGCCTCGGGGGTGCCTGGTCGTTGGCCCAGCATGTGAGTGGCCAGAAGACGCCCGCTCGGGCGTCCCATGTGGCTTCTCTCCCCCCGCCCCCGCCCCGCAGGCAGCAGGCAGCAGGCAGCAGGCAGCAGGCTGCAGGCAGCAGGCTCCAGGCTCCAGGCAGCAGGCAGCAGGCTCCAGGCAGCAGGCTCCAGGCAGCAGGCAGCAGGCAGCAGGC